GCTTACTTTTCTCTCCTGTTGCTGGAGACCTTTCTGAGCTACTTGCCGAGAAGCCACTTTTCTGAAAGCGGCATCATTTTTAGCTGTGTATGAGATTTTTACAAAATCTACATACTCTGCTCGATTCTTCACTATTTCTTCCCATTCTATCATAACCTTTTCGTTCTTCATGCATGTTTTCTTCCAGCATATCTTCTTTCTCTTCTCCTTGAGTGTCATCCTCGCTCATCCGTCCTAGATCTCGTAATACTCGTGCTTATTGTGCAAAAGCCTGCTTACTGCTATCGCTTCTTCCTGCTCCTGATCTTGCGCAACTCAAGGTGCTGTAAATTAGTAAAGCTGCCGCGCCCCCAACTTGCGCTATGCACAAAACCATAAATCTAAACAGAGGGCGGAAGATATTTGCAGTACTTCGTAGGAACGCACTATTGCTACGATGTATAACGAGTAATAACCGCGTACAAGGGTCGAGAAATCAGGAATGGAGCTCACCACCGGTTAGGATGAAAGAATACGCAGTAAATAACGATTGATGGAAGTAAACAAAAGCTTTGTTCATATCAAGCCGCGAAAAACAGTGAGGCTTAGTTGCAAGAGATTCCAGCCGAAGCTGTCTGTATGCATGAAGTAAAAAATTGTTGTTGTGGAGGAATTCACATGGCAATATCTCTGCTGAATCATATCCACAGAAACTTTCAGCGCTTTTGGTCGCAAGATTCGATGCTTTGCCTGAAGTAGGAGTTTTCATTGTACAAGGCAAGTGATAAGTATCTATTAGCGAATCCCTTGCCCTAGAAGACTACGCACATATTGAGCAGCATTAACCAGAAAACTTGAAAGGTGCTCTGTTTCTAATTAATGCTGCTTAATATCCCTCCCACACCTCGGACGGGTGTTAGATACTGGATGAGCACATGCTCTTAGTCCATACTATTTTTATTGTCCATGATTCCGCCACGTTGTCAAGCTTATTTGTTACATCTGACAAGGGAAGCGACTTTTAGCTCGCGCTTTCGGAATAAGACACATATATCTGAAATTAGCTTGGAACACTAATGCCAAATGTACTGTTTCCAGCTGCCACGCTTCATTCGTGGAAGGTGGAAGTTTGAACATAAAAGCATTAATTTTTGGTTCCGTGCTGCTTCAACTTTATCGCCTCCGGACCATACCGGGTCTTCTTCATCCTCTTCATCTCTTCATCCCCTTTGCTATGCTTATAATGTCTGTGATAGCTTCACGCAGAATGTAGTAAGTTATGAATTTTCCGCTTCTTTCTTGTCTGCTTCCTTGTAATGTCTCAAGAGCCGAAGATCTTTGTCAGAAGCAAGACCAGATGGGAGAGAACATCTTTGATTTTTGATAACCCCTTAACAAAGATGGTAGGCAGACATAATAAAAACGTTTGTGGATCAATTTGGGTTTGTGGACTACTTTTGCAAAACAGAAGAAGAAGAGAAGATTCGCACCCGGACCCTCATAGTATGAGCGAAACACTTGCCACTTTATCACACGGACGCCAGTGTAAATTGGA